TTTTGCATCCTCATGTTTGGATTACATGACAAGATTGAACTGCATTATGTTTTTTCAGAGGTTCTGGTTATTGCAGTTTCACTAATATGCATTTTGTAAATGTTGATTTTGGGTTGCAGATTATGTATATCCCTGCTTTAAAACAGTATCATCTGGATATGAACAAGGATCCTGGAGCTGAAGATCTGCATATGAGGTAGAAAAGAATGATCTTTTTTTTCCCCATTCTTTATACTAATTGCCCTATATCTTATTTGATTCACTTTTTTCCCCCTAAATTTGTACTAAAGGAAAAGCAAGCAGATTATTTGATTCACTTTTTTTCCCCCTTACATGTTGTGTCATTTCTAGTACTTGCACTAAGTATTAATGACATTACTTCTTATTTTATCTCAATTTGTATGGATTGACATTGGATTAATTTGATGTAATGGTTGTGACATAATATTTATAGAATTTATCAGTGCTTATTATTTATTGCATTTCATAATCTGCTTGCTTTTCCTTTTGCTTTTATGGTTGTGACATCATATTTAAGATCAAAATAATGCTCAGAAGCTCATATGACAATGGATTGTTACAACAGTGATGCTGATGAATGAATTCATGGCATGTGCTCAGAAAGTTTTGCATGTTTGTTTATACTGCCTACTAATGGATACTGCGAATAGCAGGAGCTTTTGGAACCAGAGGCAGCACATGATGTTCAGATGTTGTTACCTGACTATGTGGATGTCAACTTGTCAGCCCTCTGTGTATAGCGTGACCTTTTCCGGCACTGGTACAGATATCGGTGAACAAGTTCTCTTCATTTCATTGACACACCTGATGAAGCTTGCACCTTTCAATACAAAAATAGAGTTACAAATGCTATGTTATATCAAATGTCTATATGATTAACTATATCATGTAATATTGATGCGCTAACAAGTTAAGATTGATACTAAATTGGTTTAGGGGATTGCCATGATCTACATGGAAAGTGAAAGATATGTACGTAGTTGGTGCCATCCAAAATTTTACCACTCAACTTTCACATTACCGAGAGGAAACTTCTGGTCGCAGTTGTAAGGAAGCCAACTTTGAAACTTTCATTTGTCTCCTGGTATTTTGATTCACTTTCACATTTCAAGTCCTGATTTGGTGGTGGTTGTTGTTTAGCGTAGATGATCTAACTGAGGCTTTCTATTCTTGTCACACTTCATGGGAGATGTGCTCTGAGCCCTCCACCCTTCTAACTTGATCCACCACTTCTTAGGCTTCTGCCTATTACAGACTTACAGTTGCATTGAGTTTCTTTAGATTGATCAACTGAGGCCCCTAGGAAATTACTAAATCCACTGGTCTTCTCCATCGCCCAATCAATAATATCATTCTGCTCTGCTTCTTTCCCTGAAAACGTATATTGTCCAGGCACCACATTGCGTGTTCTTATAACAGCGACCAAAGGCAGGCACTGCCAGGACAAATACCTTCCCTTTCCCGAACGGGATTTTAGCCAGCGACCAGCACCCGTACTCATCGATTCAACAATAACCCTTCTTGCTCATACGCTTGCAGAAACCCCCCTCTCTAACTGAATTCATCTCCATTTTAGGCACTGTAGCCCTTCTGATCTGATCAATTCTGCAACCATTTTCTTTTCAAGCACCCAAAAGGAGAAAGAGGTAAAGCCTTCTCTAGAACTCACTTTAGAAGCTCCACCCTCACCCCTTCTACAAATTCCAGAAACAGAGATTCCATCTTGCGTCCGTCTCTGATCCACCTCTTTTGGCCTCCAATCGATCCTCTTTAGCCTTCTGTTGAACTATCAATTTACAATCTCCAGCTACCATCCATCTTTTTCTCCTTGATTTCTATCTCGTCCTAAACCTCCTTTGCAATATTTTTATGCTGTTACCGGAGGACCCTACCTCCCAAAACACTTGTTTACACGCACGTCTTAGTTGTCTTTCTTGCTGCTTAAGAACTGATTTCTTTGTTGAGGTATTCCATGGCTGAAAATTGAAATTGCGGGACCAATGTATGTGTAAAATGCAAATGTGGTCTTGGTTGATCTTAGAAGCATCTTTTTTTCACACCAAAAGTTTTGAAAGCATATAAGATATTGACTCCCTAGCTGTTATTCAAAAAGGTTGTGTAGGTAGATGTGACTTAAATCATCTAACTTTTCAGGTATGCTTCTGAAAGCGTTAATTTGGCCTGTAAGTTTGCCTACAGAAATGCCACACCGGGAAGCACTCTAGGAGGTAATTGATTCTCTATATTATTCCTCTTTTTAAAAGAAAATTTGCTTTTATGATTCATATCATTCATTCGTAATCATGCAAGTGCTATTCCATTATATGTTTTTGGGTGTACTTGACATAAGATGTGCTAGAAATTAGAACTAAAACTTGTCCTGAAATTCTGTAATGTAGCCCAGTTTATTTCAATGAAAGGTATTTATAGACATATCTTTGTAAGTAAAAGTTTGTTATAAGCAAAGGGAGAGGGCAATATGTGTAGTGTTATAATTATGTTCCTCCTTTACAACTAAAATTGCCTAGAAAATCAACAAAAGAATGCTTTCGACTTATGGATAGGCATCTCCTCATTTTAGAAGTTATGCCTTATTTTCCCAGCCCAATGCTTCCCAAGAGATGGGTTCTGCCTGCTATGCTTCATGAGCCCTCCATGCACAATCCCAATGCCAACAAACAAGCAACTCCTTGGTTGAGCATGTTATGACCCAACAAATCCTGAAACAAGAAAATAATAGGTATGAGTATTTCAAGCCATCTTACCATGTAATAATCATGTCCCAAGCCACCTTACTATATAATAGATGATGATTGTGCTCTCATCTATCCTGTTGCACATACAACACCAATTGGGAATCAACATTTCTCTTCCTCTGAGGTTCACCTTCTTCTGCCCTCTTACACATAATTTTCTTTTTCAAAGTCACTGGTAAAATTTCCGGAGCTTTCCTTGCATATTACTGATGGTGCTTTGAAAAATTCAGTCTACTCTGGAATGAGTTTCCATGAACTCATTGTACAAAATTTATCAGTTGTAACTGGCATATTGTTTTAAAATTAAAATGAAGGAAACCTGAATACTTCGCTAAAATGAAAAGAATTACCATCTTTCCTACCTATGCTATGATAGTAATAAGCCGTTGATGGATGTTTGTGATTTTGTTTGGATTTATTTAGCAAAGAAATGATATATGTTATAGAATCTATAATAACTAAGATGGTTCTTGGGAAATCATTCTGAAGATATCAGATAACAGTTTCCTAATATTTTTAGAATTATGTCACATGAAGCTGTCATGTCTTAATGTTCTGCCCATTTTGTCAGACTGATGCAAGAGACAAGCCATTTCACTTGATTGGCCAGTTCAGTCTTGTGGTCCACACTGTTTCCTATGGTTTGTTGGTCTGCGTTTGAGTTATTCTAGCTCCTTACATGGACAGTTCAATCCAGCTAGTCACAATGTTGGCCAATTATTGGCAATGCCCTGCAACTGTACACAACAATGTTACCTATTCATTTTTTTTTTTTTTTTTCCCTAGTTGGTACTCAGACTCACATTCCTCCACTGAGTTTCGAACCCCGGTACCACTAGGCCACAAGCTTGTTAGTCAATGTTACCTATTCATCTTTCACGTACTTGAATAATTAAAGGAACGCTTTGTTCCATAAATCCATATTTGTTTTTTATCTTAATATTTTTCACTGTTCCGTTGTTATGTAGATGATTATTTCCTCTCTCGGCTGCCTGTCGTGGAGAAGAGACTAGCACAAGCCGGTGTTCGTTTGGCGGCCCTACTTAACCGTATCTTTGTTTCACATATGTTAATCGCAAAAGAATGAAGGACACCATCATGTCTGTACTTAAAATTCCCCACACGTCAGGATCTCATCTACCATGTTAACTATTCACTCTCCTTGAAGTCAACTGTTGAAGAAAACCCAGAAAATGTACTTTATGGTTATCTCCAAACCCTATTCTTTTTTAATTGTTGGGATGCCCTACCCTTGGGGCATGTTTGGTGTGGTTGAATGGAATGAATCAAATAATGGAATGTGTATGGAATAAGAATGGAATTCTCATGTTTGGTTGCACAAAAAAGCCTTTTTCTTGCCTTCTTTTTCTCTTTAAAAATGCATGTCAAATCTCATCACCACCGAATATTCACACACACACACACACACACACACACACACACCCACGCGTATATATCTGCTCATCACCACCACAACCACAACCACAACTCTTGCCGGGGGCGGGAAAACTCTGTCGGAAAGAGAACGTGTACAAAAGAATCAATCATAAATCAACTCGCGTACAGAGGAATCATAATCAATTCGAAATTCAGAATCCAAAATCGTTTGGTAAAGTCCCCTAAATCAATCCAAAATCAAGGTGTCCGGATGAAACCTGATCTCTCTCCTAAATCAATCCAAAATCAACGTGTCAGGAGAAACCTGATCTTTAACACCAGTGATGGCACTGTTATCCACACCATCTGCAACACGAAAATGAAATCAAAGGTGGACGAAAGACCGCTAACAACCCTACTTCACAATCAATATGACGCAGAGGGTAAGTTTTCGTCCTTGATTAAGGGAAAGGTTCACCTCCACTTTTTAAGAAAGCTTGGAAAGAAGCTCCCAGACACGAGCAGAATCGTACAGGTTCCCACCAAAACTGAAGCAAGCATTTATATTTCTGTAGGAAACCTCCGGGCTTTGGGGGCTTTGATACGTCGGCGGTGAGTTCTCCGATGAAGAGAGAGGGAAAGAACATTGCCATTTTTGATGTTCAAAATGTTGTTTTTATTCAATTTATTTATTTATTTTTATTTTTTAAAGTGGGAATGGAATGACATTCTTTTAGTTGGAAAGTGGAATAAATTAGTGAGAATCACCATTCTCGAAGAATGGTAAAAAATTATCTTTCTAACTTTAAAATTAATTACCAAACTAAAGAATGGAAATAAAAACATTCCATTCCCACCAAACTAGCCCTTATGGAATATGCCAATCTTGCTTGTGGCAATGGACTACTTTTGGGGCACTCAAAAATGGAAATATGTTGAACTTGCACTCAATGGCAACGTTGTAGTTGTATATATAGAATAAGCATTGTCATTGCTGGGTCATATATTCTCTTGTGTTTTCATAGTTGAGAAACAAAGACCAAATTACAGAGATAAGCTCATTTATAACAATGGTTGAATTGAGAGGTTTGTTGGGATTGTCTCTGTTCTACCTCATTTTCTTTCTCGGTTTTGCGTTCTTTTTCGACCCTGGGGTCCAAGCCTGGAGCAAAGAGGGTCATATAATGACATGCAAAATTGCGCAGGTACAGACTATTCCTTTCTTTCAAGCTGCAATATGGAGTTTTGAGGAATACATACTGTTATCTGTATAACTAGATCTGCAAAATCATGAGTGGAAAATCACGTTCCTAATAAAAATTTGTAAGCTCTATTTGACTCTTGGAACCATGATATAAAAACCAGCTTTTTTCCAAATAAATTTTTATGAACATTTTCCTTTTTTTTTTTTTTTTTTTTTTTGGTAGATAGAGAGAGCGCTCTCTCTCTTCAAAATCAGATGGATCATCATTTTCGATTTGCCAGAATGGTGGAACTGGAAGTTTGTTTCCTACGTGTTGAATTCGCTATGCAGTTTTCCTGCACAATACTTTCATGTATTATTAGTATATTATTATTATGTCACGACCCTGGTCTACCTTTATCCTAGTGGCTTTGATTCTTAATTTTGAATTCCTAAATCAAGATTGGAATAGAGAAAAGAAAGAAAAAAATTATGTATATGCCTAGCCCAAAATAAAATTATTTTCCTGGTATCTGTTTCCATCCAAACAAACAGTGTTTTATGGTACCAGCTAGGGGAAATGTACCAACAGGCAATAATAATAATAAATAAATAAATAGGTGAAATGTGATTTATGGTTCCAGTGTAATTAAACGGGGAAAATGTGATGACTTCATGGATCAACGAGTCTTAGAATTTAAGACAACTCAAGTCCATCAATAAGTCTCACATGTTCAACCTGGTTGCTTTGGGGTAACGCACAAGCAAACATAATACCACTCTAGTTTAGTTGTCTATTAGTAGAAATCATTAAAATTAACTCCAATTTTGAGAGTATTGAATCAGCACCTTAAAATCGAAAGCATACTCAGAAACTCATAAGATTTTGGATCGGTACAACAGTAATGCTGATGAATGAACTCATGGAATGTGATTTGCATGCTTGTTTATATTTCCTACTACTAATGGATGCTACTGCGAATAACAGGATCTTTTGGAACCGGAGGCGGCACATGCTGTTCGGATGTTGTTACCTGACTATGTCAATGGCGACTTGTCAGCCCTCTGTGTATGGCCTGACCAAATCCGGCACTGGTACAGATACCGTTGGACCAGCTCTCTTCATTTCATAGACACACCTGATGAAGCTTGCACTTTTCAATACAAAAGTATTGTTTACAAATGCTTATGATAAATCCAATGTTATATCAATGTCTATATGATCATATATGTCATGTACTAGCATTGATATTGTACTAACTTGTTAAGATCGAGATTGATATTAAATTGGTTTAGGGGATTGCCATGATCCACATGGAGTGAAGGATATGTGCGTAGCTGGTGCAATCCAAAATTTTACCACTCAACTTTCACATTACCGAGAGGGAACTTCTGATCGGCGTTGTAAGGAAGCCAACTTAGAAATTTTCATTTGTTTCCTGATATTTTGATTCATTTTCACATTTCAAATCCTGATTTGGTTGTTGTTCGGTGTCAGATAATCTCACTGAGGCTTTGTTATTCTTGTCACACTTCATGGGAGATATTCATCAGGCATGCGGTCCAATTTTAACATCTTAATTTATTCATTAATCTTTTACGGACTAGTTAATATGTTGCTTATGGAAGTATTATTGATGTTATTATCTTTTTAACATTAATTCAGCCTCTGCATGTTGGATTCACGACCGATGAAGGAGGAAACACCATAAACTTGCGCTGGTTTAGGCACAAATCTAATCTTCACCATGTGGGTATCAACAGCACTTTGTGTTTATGTAGTTGCATGGTTCTCGTGCTCACAAACCGTTGATAGAAATTCAGAAGTCATGAATATATATATATACACGTATACACACACATATTTATTTGGGAAAACAATCGGAATATTAAATTAAATTAGTTGAAAAATATTTATGATAATTCCTAACTTCCTAGCTCCTTATAATTGTACAATTTGTCTCGTTTGCAATGTATAGGTGTGGGATAGAGAAATCGTTCTCACAGCTGCAGCAGATTACTATGGGAAGGACATGAACATCCTCCAGGAAGACATAGTCCACAACTTCACCGACGTAAGCAACAGCAACTAGGCAACAGTCGGCTAGCTTTCTGAAAGTTTATTGAAACCAAAATTAGCTATTATTACACTTCAAAATTCTAATTATATAGTAACCAAATTTAATTTAGAGAAAATTATTTCATTACGTACCATTATTCCATTGCTACACAGGGAATCTGGTATGATGATCTTGCATCATGGAAGGAATGCAATGATCTTTTTACCTGTGTAAACAAGTGAGTTCTCTCTCTCTCTCTTTCCACAAATATTTGCGTAAAGTTGAATTCTTTACCATGTTTCAAGTTCGGACATTTCTCTTTTCCATGCTTTGCTTCAAATACATAATACACAGATATGCTGAAGAGAGTATAAAAATAGCATGCGAATGGGGTTACAAAGGCGTTGAATCTGGTGCAACTTTGGCTGGTAAGTAACTTTTAATGCTATTTAGAACATAAAGTCTAATCAAGAATGCTAGCCGTGAAATTTCTATTCCTTAGATGCATTGGCTAGTATTTTCGATTAGACTGTTAGGTCTGAGACCATCTATTTTGAGTTCACCACATGAATTAGTACGTAACTCCAATAGCTGCTGGTCACAGCAGTTACAACTATAATGTATGTGTTGATTTACAGATGATTACTTCAATTCGAGGTTTCCACTCGTGATGAAACGGATTGGTCAGGGTGGAGTCCGATTAGCCATGATGCTAAACCGGGTTTTTGGCAACTCTAATGAAGATATGATGACAGCAACTTGATTAACCAACTAACAAAAGGACCTAACAAATGTTTGATCACATTCATTTGTATAATAACACCTCCATTTAACTTGGGATTATTTAATAAATTATGTTTGATGATATCCCTTGCCTCCTATATCTTTTACCATTTTAGTTCATACTTCTTTTAACTTTATGTGTTGAGCATATTAGTGGGACCTTTTAAATTAGAAGGTCATTCATGCGAGAAATTATTGTATAGACCAAGTCCATACACCTCACTTGCTGAGTTGGTGGACTACACCAATTACTTCTAGACACATGTAATAAAAAATTATTTTTATATTCAATTGGCCACATCAGCTTTGCTACATCTCTCTCCTCTTTCAGCCTTCCCATTGGGCTCCATCTATCTCTTCTCCTTCTCAACTCTAAACTTGCCCCCCCCCCCCCCCCCCCCTCTCTCTCTCTCTCTCTCTCTGCAACTACAAACTACAAAAGCTACAAGAATCAAAAGTTCAAAACCCATATATTTCACTCTCCCTCTCATACATCTCAGTTGGAGAACAAGATTTGGGACTCTTTTCGATTCGTACACCTACTCTTCTTATGTTCATCTTTGTAATCATTTTATCCCAGTATTATAATGATTTTTGAATATTCATCAATCTTTTTTTTCTTTACCTAGAGCGACTATGTCTCATTAGATCTAATTGTCATTGTAAATCAATATTCTTATCCCATTTTTTTGCTACCGTTGAAGAATTCGATCTAATTTTCCTTCTTGGATCATTGGGATTGTGGGTTTTTGTGCACAAATTAGGATTGTTGTTTTGGGTGAAAATTTAATCCTCTATACAGCTTTATCTACTATATTCTTATCTGGGTTTCTTTCAACGTGATATAAAAAATGACTGAAAATCCCAATTTTTTTCTGTGATTTTTTGGTGTTTGATTTGGGGAGTCTGTCTGAAATATGGTTACAGTGAATGTTGGGATGCTCCATTATGTGTTGGATCATGTATATGGTGCATTTGTTCACAGAACATAGCCCTTATCTTCTTCTCCTTCTCCTTCTGCTTCTTTTTCTTCTTCATCTTTGTTGAACTTGCCCTCTCCCTCTCTCTGCAACTACAAACTACAAAAGCTACAAGAATCAGAAGTTCAAAACCCATATATTTCACTCTCCCTCTCTCTGCAACTGCAAACTACAAAATCTACAAGAATCAGAAGTTCAAAACCCAATAGTCTATACAGGGTCGGCCCTGAGATTCCAAATATTTTGAGAAGCCCTAGGCGAACTTTCAAATGTGAGGCCCTTAAGTTTCACACGCGCAAAAAAAATTATAGGAGTGCGGAATTTTCACACGATGTTTTCAAATTCTATAGCTAATATAATTGTACGCACGTGCATTGTGCATAAGCCAACTAACTAATAACTACAATCTTCATTCATTAAATCTTCATGTTCACTGACTAACTTCATATGATCTTCATTCATTAAATCTTCATGTTTATTGAGATTTTCTTCATTTGCTTTCGCATTCATATGTTCTTCATTCACCAAATCTTCAACTAAACTCTCTATTTGTGTATTGCTCTTAAAAAACTTAAGAATATCTCCTTTTTGAGATTGAATCAATTCTTCTTCTCTCTCCTTTTTTTTTTTGTTTTTTTGTTTTTTTTTTTTTTTTGTCTTGCCTAGATTCAAATTTTCTTGTATATATATAATGATATCTCTTGAAATCTAAATAACAGGAACCATAATCAACATAAAACTAGACTTCAAAAAAATAATAATAATAATTTGCTTTGTTTAAAGAAAATATATATTACCTCAATATGCAATGATTTGATTCAAGTTCAAGGCAAATAACCTCACGAGATCCTAAGAAGAGTGTCCTGCCAACATGTGAAAGAAGATCATAATTAACATAAAACGGATGAGAATCAAACAGAAACAATAATAACTAGGCATTGCCGATCATACAATAAATATAATAATAAAAAAAAAAAAAAAAAATCTAAAATCAAGCAGTTTGGTTGAATGATCTCCTGGCTGGAGTTTTCACTGGAATCTGGAGGAGAGGAGAGGAGAGAAAACAGAGTATCCAAAATACAGTCCAAAAGTGGAAATGAGGAACAAAAAACTGCAGCTTCTTTTTTACATTCATTGTTTATATAGCTGCTAAAATTTGATGATTACAGGAGATGAGGTGACTATATATATATAGGAGGCTGAACTTGTAGTGCTGAAGAAGTAGTGGGACTTTTAGGTTATATGTGGCATCCACTATCATATATAATTTTGTCTTTCACTCTTTATATTAACTACACTTTTGTGTGCGTGTTTTTTTGGGAGCCAATTACCCCTTTCTTGATTTCAGGATGAGGAATCAACTTTAGTAGCAGTGGTTGATTGATCATTGCTACCGAAGACCTGTGAAAATTAATAGAAAAAACCATTAAATTTTGTTTTGTTAAAGCCTGCTCTTGATTTCCACGTGTTTGTACATTCTGATGGCAAGTGTTTTGACAGTATTATTAACTGAAATTCTAGCTGAGCCAACTTCAAATAACATCAATAATGGTGGTATGTATCTTCATATAAAAATAAAATATAAAAAACCCCTTAATTTGGCACTTTTAAGTATCAGCATAATTTAGAGATCGAAAAACGGTTCAACCCACTAGAAGGGATCCTTAATTTTCGTAGGATTGAATGTGAAAATGCAAAAACTTCTGAGGAAAAGTGGTATGGTTGCTGCTGTTGTGAGATTGGAGTGAAATTAGGGAGAGGGAAAAAAAAAAAAAAAAGTGCCTGCCGTATATTATGGACTCGATCGCCATGAAAGACACATGTAGAAAGGCACACATTTATTAAAATACTAAGAGAACCATAATATATTCATTCAGCTTTTGATAGACATCGCACACAGTGACACACACGCACACAAAAAAAAAAAAAAAACCCTAGTTTGGAAGCTACTTTTCACTATTGGAACAAAGGTAAAGGCCCGAATCAAACGAACCAAAAGTTAGAACAAATCAAATGATGAGATGAAAGAAAGAAAGAAACATATATAAAAGATCGATTCATGCAAAAGGAGAGAGAAGAGAGAAAGAGGATGAACATACCTTGTCACCTGAGGCGATAGCGGAGGCTGCGCCCTGCGTAGTGTCGAAGAAGATTGTGACATTGTTTGTGTCGTCTGAAACTTGCCCTAACTTCATTTATTTTTATTTTTTTTCCATCCCCTATAGGAATCAAAATTTGGGCCTCAAAATTTGAGGCCCAAGGCGACCAATTTTTCCCATCCTCTATGAGCCTCATGAGGCCCTCTAAAATTTGAGGCCCAAGGCGACCGCCTTGGTTGCCTTGGGCCAGGGCCGGCCCTGAGTCTATAATTTAATTTGTTAAAAAATTATGTTTGATGATATCCCTTGCCTCCTGTATCTTTTACCATTTTAGTTCATACTTCTTTTAAGTTTATGTGTTGAGCATATTAGTGGGACCTTTTAAATTAGAAGGTCATTCACGCAGTCAGAATTTTTTTTTTTAGTGGGACAACTTTTAATAATAATATAATAATAATTTTTTTTTTTTAAATTAATATAAAAATGAAAGTATTGATCCATAATATTTTTATTTATAACCATCCTCCACCAACTGTTGAATTAAAATAATTTTATTGTCAATGTTATTAAATATGTCTCTCTTAATATATGCAATTATTGTATTATTTATTCATTGTTTGATCTTCTATTCGATTATGTTCTCGAGTCTTCACACTGTTTAGTCTTAGTAATATATCTTTCTATATATAGATGAATTAGTATAAATCAATAATATGTCACCTCTCTTACAGCAATATGTTTAGATATATATAAATTGAAGCAATGAACAGTTTCACTTTAGTAAAAAAAATTCTTTTGTTGTGGGGCCAGGGTAAGAGAAATTTTATCACTATTCTTTAATTTTGGGGAGATAGATGAGTCTCTCTAAAATTTTTACAAAATATCAGTGGGGCCAATTATATAATTTTTAAAAATATTTCATACAAAATTATAATTTTATCAAAGTCCATGCAGTCAGAGACCTAATAACATAAACATGTGAAAGACCACTAATTAAAATTAATGGAGCAGAGTACACGTGGACGTGGGAGGCAAATTGATATTCCCTACTAATGAAAATTCCGGTTAATATGGCCCAATACAATTTAGACACATATTTAAATTTTTAAATTTTTTAATGATAGTTATTATTCAATTTTTTACTAGATAAATCCTTAAATATCCTTAAATACAAACCCAATTTCTTTTCTTTCCCTATTTAAAATTTTAGACCCCCCCACCCTCCCCCCCCCCCCCCCAACAAATCTCCATACCCAATCTCCATATGAAACCCTATTCCATCTCCATCAATCAAATATTCGATTTTTTTTATACAATATTTTAAGCTTTTATTCGTTCATTATTCAATACTTAATATAGTACATTCTTTAAATAATTTTGGTAATTTTTTTAATTTTAAATGGAAGTTGGGTATAGAAACAATCGTGATTCTTTCAGAAAAATAAATAAATAAATAAATAAACTTTGAGATTCGATTTAACCTTTGTGTCTAAATTGTATTATGCCATTTTCAGTTGGGAGGATGAACTACTTTATCCTTTGAGAGGATGACCCAAGTATTATTAATAAAAAAAATAAAAAATGGCAAACTTACTTATAAAATTGGTGATAACGAAATAATATGTTATATTTGACTAGGTGTATATATTTATGATGTGGCGTATTAGGTATCCTAATATCTATTCCTCCGTATGATAGAATGTCAAAAGATCAGAAGTTCAGTTCAAGTTCAAGTTTCTATTGACTTTATTTTTGTAGATTAAGCAAATAAAAGCCTCCTTACTCAAATTTCTAAAAGAACTTGAATTTTCATGTTTTTGTTAACAAAAAAATTGATGCTACCTAAAATTTGTACAATAGATGGTAAGTTAGATGGGTTGTTAACCGGAATTGAATTGGAGATATACCTAATTGGCCCGTCCAAAGCTGGAGCTGGTGCCAACCTAGCAACAGTTAGAAGTAGAAGATGGGTTCCCAAAAAGCAGGAGACAAATATGAAATAACTAACCACTCATTGGATTTGAGAGCACGATATATTTGAGGACGGTTGGAAACTTGAAAAATGAACAACCAAACAAAAAAAAAATTACACGAAACGTTTTGGAACATCATGTTGAGGGTAGGCATGACGTTTTATTACTCTTTATCGTTTCCACCGTTTATGCTGGAGCAAGTGGGTCTTCCTCCAAAACTGGAAGGCCACTTGGGTCATTTTCCAAAGACTCATATGCAGATCTTAATTTCTCTCTACACCACAATTGAATATTCGGCGAATCATTCTGCTGCTTTTTCACAAGTTAATTAAAAAAATAAATGGACAATCCTAGCTAGGACAACGAAACTAAATTATACCCACGTTGTACAATACACAAGACATGGTCAACATCAATCATGTAACATGTTAATTCCTAACTGGTCCTTTATGTACCGTGATGTAACTCGTGACTTAATAAAAACATCTACAATTTTGAATGGAAAAAAAAAAAAAAATTATATATATAAATAAATAAATGATAAAACAAATATGAAAATTGTGCTTAAATATCATTCAACCCAAAATATCAATTTCATAAACAAAGAAATACTAGTCAAAGAGAATAAAAACATGTCATATTATGATATTTTGAATTTATAAACCCAGTGCTAAAACATATTTTGATTTTATCTTTTATAAAGTAAAATCAGTATTAAAAGTGTTTTATTAAAATTTATAGCCCTTTCCTTTTATTGTTTTATATTTTAGAAACATAAGAAAACCTACTCATCCCAACTTTGTATCTTTCCAATTTCGTTTTAAGAAACGACCAGGAAGAGAGAGGCTAGTTTATAGGTATATATATATATATATAATATAATATATAGGGCAACAAGATTCTTGAAGTTCGTGTATCTGCTATAAATTAATAATTGTTCGCAGAAGAGAGAGGTCGTTCATTCTTGCACATCAAGTTTTAGTTTTTGTCCATACTTTAGAAAAAGTGCTCCTCCTTATATCATGGACATGCGCATCATTCGAGCTTAGAACAAGCAAATACTTTCACACATATACTTCAAAATCAAAAGTATTGTTCTTCATACACACATGTATATACACGCACACATTTATCGTCAGTTTTCTGATCTGGATTGATGGCAACTAGCTATAAGTAGACTGTAGATCAAATAAAAGTTGTATATCTACATGTATGTATAGATGTATCTGCTATTTATATGTAACAGTTCATATTATTATTCACTCACATTGTTTGGTGGCTACAAGTTTATTGGAGCTTTTCTGATCTAGCGTTTAATTTGGCTTTGCCCCTGTAAATCTTTGTTCATTGTCATTTTTCAGATCTATCACGTTCCTCTTTTTTCCCCTAATATTAGTTCTTGCTTTATAAATTGTTTATTGTTTTTTAGATTTTAATATTCCAATTTTATAACACATTAACAAGTGCTTAAAAAATAATACTGTGACTTTTTTTTATATTGGGGGCATATCTTTTGATAACTAGGATTGTTGTTCGTAAAGACATTGTTTTTTCTTACACATTGATGCAAATATGCTTGATTTCTCCAATATCTGATTGAAGTGAATCACCGACACCCTGTTGAAAATTTGGCACTTCTTACAAAACATAAGCTTAATTTCCTAGGAAAAAAATAATAATTCTTTGGGTTTTGTCAATCAGATTGTGATTAGAGGTTTGACAAAGACAGTTTAAAATTACAGCCCTTCAATTGTTTGTTTTAAAGCCTAAAAAAAGTGTCTTGTATCAATGACTCTGGTTCGTTCAAATTAGCTTCCTTTGTTTTTTTTTTTTTGTCAGTACTGTTCAGCTTGATTTCTGGTAAATCTTGTCGTCGTTGTTCAGTGTTTACTTTTAACTTCGTCAATTTGGTATGTAATGGTCTGAAGCTTGATTTCTGATCATGACAGGGGATTGTGGTGCCGAGCCATGACAAACGTGTGAAGCTTCTGCCATTTGTCTTATAAGTGCAGGTAAACCATATGCATTGATAAGTAATTCTAGCTGAGGGATGCTAAATTTGTACATGTGAATAGCATGTTTTTTAGGTCTCAGCATCCTAGGTTGCTCAAGTATTTTAAATATTTTCCTCCGCTTATGTGTTAGTTAGAACAGGAAGAAGCTGCCAGGCTCAACCGTCTGGGCCTGCTGCTTTCGAATTGTGGTTTTGGCAGCTTCCAAACGGTCACCATATTTCTCCTTTGCACTATGATGACAAAGTTGAATTGGATCTGCCAGCTGCAGTCCAGATGATAGTTTGGTAATATAAGAATGAGAATACTTTTTGGTTTCCTAGAAGCTTTTGGAATATTACAAAGAGTTTTTTTTTTCTTTCTTCTTGTAACCGCCATCAGCTGATGAGCAAAGCTAAGTTGGATGCTTGTTTTCTAATCAATTAGTCTTAAAAACTATCGTTATCTTTCAGGGTAAATTTAGTCATGTTCTTTGGACTGAGCTCCACCTGTTTTCAATATTGACTGTGTGGGTCTTTTGTGAGAATTGAGGACTGTCTTGTGTGGGTCTTTTGTGAGAATTGAGGACTGTCTATATATATAATAGTGCAGCACATATCTCAATTTGTCTCATTTTTCTTTATCAGTGTCAATTCAAAAGATCAAACCAGCTGAATTTGAGACCTCCACGAGGTACTCCGCGGATATGGCATTGGCACGGATAGCAAGGAGCGGCTTGAGGGGCTCAGGAGCCGCCATTGGCAAGCGCACAAGTGAGAAGGACATACTATGTGAGGGAATATCCACACACAAGTATTCTTTACCTTCTGTTGAAACTAATACAGCAGTCCGAAGTTTTTCATACCTCCCAAGTACCAAGAAGGTGGATCATATGATGAGCTCAGGGAGCAGGGGAATCAGGATAACCCCACATTATCAGTTTGCTCAGGCAGAGAGGATCATGGAGGTGTCTGATTCAGAGCATGAACAACCAAGATATCCTAGTCTGGAAGCTACCAAGCCAGGGCAAAAGCCGAGGGTGGTTGTCCTTGGCACTGGGTGGGCAGCTTGTAGATTCCTCAAGGGGCTTGACACCAAAATTTATGATATTGTTTGCATTTCGCCAAGGAATCACATGGTCTTCACTCCATTGCTTGCTTCGACTTGTGTTGGAACCTTGGAATTCCGCTCAGTAGCTGAGCCAGTTGGTCAGATACAGTCTGCATTAGCGAAAGATCCCAATTCCTACTTTTACCTGGCGTCTTGCACTGGTATCAACACAGAGAAACACGAAGTGAGTAACTCTGCGGTTCGGTTTTAATTTCTTATCCTAGTCATTCTGCATGATCACATGCACATTCTTCATTGGCATAACAGATATATAAACAACTGATTCCTCCGTATGATCATAAGCAAAGAGAAGTGCCTTTACGATTACAAGCACTGTCACAATATGCAGGAACATCATTTAAACATATTAAATCTGTTCTTGCATGTACACGTGTAAACTGAATTATGAATATCTCTGCATCACTTTTTTTATTTTTGATTTATGAGTATCTCTATATCACATTTTTTATTTTTTATTTATAACCACAATTTTGGTCTAAAACCAGACCAGTGTCACAATATACAGAAACATCATTTGAACAGAAAAAAGAAGGGCATACCCAGTGCTGGCCCCACCTATGGACATCATTAATTAAAATAGATCAATTCTACTCTTGTATAGTTAATCTATAAAATGAATCATTAGCAATTTCTCCATCATATTTTATTTGCTTTATAACCAGGAATAATGGAACATGTAAAGAAAATATATAAAATTATTTTATATGGAAAAAGAAAAAAAAAAATGAGAAACTTAACTGTTCTACATGTCTTTCTGAATTCATATATGGTTAGTAAAAATTTAATAATGTTGCTTCTTTGAACCAGGTGTACTGTGAAACAATTGGCAATGTGGGACTTCCTAATGATCCCTACAGATTCAGAGTTGCATATGACAAGCTTGTCGTTGCTATTGGAGCTGAGCCCTTGACATTTGGTATAAAGGGAGTTAAAGAACATGCATTTTTTCTTCGTGAAGTAAATCATGCCCAGGAAATAAGGAAGAAGCTTCTGTTAAATCTGATGCTCTGTCAAAATCCAGGTGACTTTTGTTTTCTCCCTCACAAATTTTCTACCTCCAAAGTGTTGAAATAAATTAGTTAATACACTCTGAGTGCGAACTGCATTCATTAGTCACTCTCTGGAAATATTAGATCTTATGGGTCTTACATGATGTAATTTGCTTCTCTTTCACCTAATTCATTTGAAAATAGTCTCCAGGGTAACCCAATTACCTGCTTTTTAAGTTCGGCAATTTTTTTTGTGGAAGTTCCTCTGTTTGGTCTAAGGTTGCTACTTCGCAATTCTGTTTAATAGGAGCTGTTATGATAATTTTCATGGTGATCCAGCTTGCTGAATAAATTACTACTTGTGTTGTGGAATGTGGGCTGAACTTTTCTTTTTGTATCCTTTTTGTTTTCCCTTCATTGGTATCTTTATTTGTAATGGACCACCCAAGGACCCCCAGTTGCCCTCATTATTCTCTCGTCATCACATATCTAATCTATCTTTCATGTCTAAAATTGATCTATTTTTTGTAGGCCGAGGGACCGGGTCTTACCATCGTCCTGTGCATCATATTTATAAATACTGAAAATATTTGATCTACAATTGCAGGTGTATCAGAAGAAGAAAAGGAACGCCTGTTACACTGTGTTGTAATTGGAGGTGGCCCTACTGGGGTAGAGTTTAGTGGTGAACTAAGTGATTTTATCATGAGAGATGTCCGTCAACGGTATGCTCATGTGAAAAATTACATCCGTGTCACACTCATTGAGGTACTGACATGCTCTGCATTTATTTCCAAGTAAGATTATATATAAGAACAATAGGGTCAGTGACTATAGTTTTTATATTTGTTTGGTACAGGCAAATGAGATATTGTCATCATTTGATGTTGGACTACGGCAATATGCCACAAAACACTTAACCAAGGTAATTTGATTTGCTTTCTAAATCCTGCAGGCTTATTTTCCCTTAGTTTCTTGAATTGTCAGTGACATAAAACCTTGTATCAGTGTGGTGTTCGCCTTGTTCGTGGTGTCGTGAAAGAGGTGCATCCCAAAAAAATAGTTCTCAGTGATGGGAGTGATGTTCCTTATGGCCTCTTGGTCTGGTCTACTGGTGTTGGTCCCTCTGAGTTTGTAAAATCAATGGATCTCCCCAAGTCCCAAGGTGGAAGGTATAGTCATCAGCATTTCTCCTACATTTAACCCTTTCATTCACTTCATGCATTCCTCTTTATAAATTTATTATTGAATCCCACCAATTTATTTTGTTGAGTATTACAGGATTGGAGTTGATGAATGGATGCGAGTTCCTTCTGTGGAAGACGTGTTTGCACTTGGAGATTGTGCTGGTTTTCTTGATCAGACTGGAAGGCAGGTGCTTCCAGCATTAGCTCAGGTTAGATTTTTTAGTTCTTTCAGTTTACTTATATTTCTAAATTCTATTATAAGTGAATTTTGAGTCGGTTTGCTTTAGAAAATTGATGAAATGACAGAACAAAAAGCATGTAGTCTACAGCGTTTTCAATCAGAAACTAATCGAGTAACTCATAATATGAGAGTTGTAATGACAATAATGCTATCATAGTATGTCAAATATATCTATAAAAAAGCAACATGAGACTTTTTTGGCCAGCCTTCTATCTAAAAAATGGGTGGGGAGTGCCAATTGAAGAATTGAATGACATTTAGAAGGCTTCTTTTTGCAGTGGTGGTTATAGTGATACTACATGATGCCAATTTCATTGAAGTAAACCATCAGGCGAAGTGAATGTGGAGAGCCTGCAAACTCTGCATGGATGAGAAACTCTGTAGGAAGAAATTGTATGTTATGTTGTTGAGAAAGAATCCATTGATTTTTTAATCTGCTTCACCAAATAAGGAGGATGAATTAACAGAATAGGATCAAGCATGCACTAGTTGGTTGCTCTAATAGAAAGAAGATAAAACAAGCAGAAGGAATTTATCAATAATGTTGTTGATATATATTGGCTTAAAAATATTGGTCTTTGAGATTTTTTTCTTTTCAAGCCAATTGGCTTTTGAGAATATTGAAGAACTAAACCTCGTATCACAGAATGTAATGTGAACACATAACCTGTATATTTTGTGCTGTAGTCATGAGACAAGCTGTTATTTTGTGCCGTTATTATTTCAGTAGAACGCTATATGAGAGGACTGAAATGAATTAAACAGGCTAATTTTTTAAAATATATATATTTTTCACATAATCATTGTTTTTTTTTTTTTTTTTTTTTTTTCTCCCCGAAAGGTCACATAATTATTGTTTCCAAAGCAGTGTCTAAAGTAATTAATTCCAAAAATTTTAAACAGGTTGCAGAAAGGGAAGGAAAATTTCTTGTGCAGCTGTTTGACAAGATTGGGAAGCAGAATGGGGGCAAAGCTTTCTCGGCAAAGGACATTCCATTGGGAGAGCCTTTCTCCTACAAGCATCTTGGAAGCATGGCATCAGTAGGGGGTTATAAGGCACTGGTTGATCTACGCCAGTCCAAGGTAATGTGAACTGTACTTTCATGCTGCCCATTTAAGCAACATGTTAACATAAATAGTCCTCCTATCTTTTTTGATTCAGATAAATACAATGTCAAGCTTAAACACACAAAGGTTTTAAAAAAATTCTCCGCTAAGCCACTAGGTTTAATCTTTTGTAAGACAATTATAAGTATGAGCTCAATAAATGTAACATTGCATTTTTTTCCTTCCTTGACAATTTTTTTTTTTTGGATAGATATATGACCCATTTGTTAAATTGAAGACTCACTCAACCTTTGATTTTGAAAAGAGTTCTTTGACTCTTAAAGTTGGGACATAAATCTATCATATATCTTCTTTCCAAATTGTTTCACATTGCTACAAAAATTTCAATGGTTTATAAGTATCTTAAGTCCACCCTACCCTAGTTTTTTTTATTTTTTTTCATCCACCCTACCCTAGTTTATAGTAACATGTTTGTAAACAGTGATATAGGCAGCTTAGCTAGATTTAAGAACTACGATCAAGTGAACAGTTAATGGGAGTAGCTTAAACAGAGGAAACCCTATGTATTTTAGCACATTTGATTGAACCATAACCATGAGTGAATTGATTCTAATTTATACAGGACGCAAAGGGCATCTCACATGGGGGTTTCGTTAGTTGGCTGATTTGGCGCTCTGCTTACCTAACACGTGTCCTCAGCTGGAGAAACAGGTTCTACGTGGCAGTCAACTGGGCTACTACACTGGTCTTCGGCAGAGATAACACAAATTTTTAGGCGGGTTTCCTACCGTGTGAGTACTAACACGTGTCCTCAGCTGGAGTAGTATCAAATTTTGCATATGTGGTTGAAGAGGATTTTGATTAAAAAATAGATATAGCTCTGGGCATAGAGTGAAAGTTTGATATTTGTCTGGATTACGTTGGTAGCTTTGCATTGGCTTCAATTTTAGTTTATCAAGTTTTACTGGAGATTCATTAATTTACAGATTATGGGAGCTAGTTAGTTAGACACAAATCATCATATATAAATCACATCTAAATCATTAAATCGAAAATGTTGTGTATTCTAAATTGTTTGTAGCAATTGTCTTGTTTTCATAAGTTCACAAATAAAATGACAATGCCAGTGCGGTTCTGCAGCAGAAAAAACCCACAAATCAAACCTAGCTACTTTATGGCGGTGATAAACACATACTACAACCTCTCAATATGTATATATGTGTGTGTTACAAGCTCTCAATATGTATATATGTGTGTGTCTGAAATACAAAAAAAGGGCCTCAGATCTTGTATGCAAGAGAGTCCTTGGTGACACGTACTCGTGAGCTTCCCATATTTAAGCAACAAGAACCAAAAGAAAAGATGGAAGCAAAAGAATGGGCCAAAACCAGCAGAGCAGCCACCTTCACTTGACCACGCTTGGGGGTCGGTCGGCCCGAATAAATTCTCCTCGACAAACTTACGGCGTTGATCATTCCTTTCCTCGTACCTGCCATCGATCTCTCAAACAAATGGATTTGAAGTAGCTACGTGATAGTGCTAATTGGTGTTTTACTTGGGGGTTGAACTTTAAAACCTTCTGGTGTGGTCTGGTGTATATAAAGGCAAAAATTATAAAAATGCCCCTAATTTTGGGAATAATTACTTCACAGTGGCTGCTGCAACTGTCAATCTCCCACCCATTCCATTGAGTTTCATTTTTTGTTTGACCATGTTGAACTTGACATGTTCCCGGAGCTCTTTTTTCCAATTTTCAGTCACGCATGTTGGAATCACTAATTACTTTGAAAATAAAAAAGAACGAGAAGAAAAAAAAAGGCACAATACTGTGTGCAGTTAATTGTGCAATCTCCTTTATAAGCTTTTTTAGAGGTTGTGAATTTATAAATTCAGTGCATGAATAATGTTTGGATTCTTTGTTATTTGTTGCTGTAGCATTTTTCAATACACTTATATTTTCAATCCATTTCATTTATATTTTATACACAAAATTGCGTTGAAATGTGCATAAAATGTATAGAAAACATATGTAAGCACATTATAACACTCTATAACTACAATACTAAAGTACTATAGCAGATACTTGTATGAATAAGGGATCTTAAATTTGTTCAAAAAGATTGTCTTACCCAAAGGCGAGAATACCCTCTTCTCATAAATAAAGAATTTTAAAACTATTAAAAGTATAATATAATATTAGAAATATAAATTTTTTTGATAATTAAGGGCCTAAAGTTTGTGCAGAAGGGTCGAATACTCCTTTCTTCATTGATATATATATATATATAATTAAGGGCCTAAAGTTTGTGCAGAAGGGTGGAATACTCCTTTCTTCATTGATATATATATATATATATATATATAATAAATAAACGGTCGAATATAAAATTGGGCATATAAAAACGTGACCAGGTATATAGGAAATGAATGTACATGGAATGAATGAACTTTAATATCCACTTATATTAAGGTTCACTGAATGATACTGCAATACAAATTGAATAGAAAACAAAATGATAGCGCATCACAAATTGCTTTTGAGCCCAACTTGTACGGACCGATTAGTGGCATTTGATTTTTGAGGATATAATTCCACATTTATCATCATATTCTTGTGTCATTTTAGCCATTTGCATATTCCATTCTGGTATATTTTCCGAATTTTGTATTGAGGAGTGTTAAATACAGTCGCGCAAGTGGCTGTCCATTCACAATCGCACATTTTATTGGTTGAAAAACCCAATTATAGAAATTGTAATTAATGCCTCTCTCATATTTTTTTAAAACTATAAAACTTCAACTTTTAAGACCAAATTAACTTTTTATATTTCTTCTTTCTTTTCTATCAAACTTGTACGGGCTCTTTGCTTACCAACATTATTTTTTTTTTCTCTTTTTTTTTTTTTCAATTGTTTTTAACTATATATATATATATATGCTCACCGTGTGAATGGTTTCTCACTATTTCTCACTCTTCTTTAAATAAAGAAAGAGAAAAAAAAAAAATTATGTGAATTGATTGCTTCTTTCTTTTCTTTTTTTTCCTTTTTTTTTTTAATTCTTTCATTTTCTATATATATATATATATATAGTAGTTAATCATACTGTGAATAGATTGGTAAACCATACTTCTCTTATTTCATATAGAGTAATGTTATTACGAAAGCGCTTTCGCAAAAAGTCTACAGAGCTACCACTTATTAGCCACATGATTCCTTTTTTAGGATTTAGGAGAGTGAATTAATTAAGAAAGAATCCTAATCATTTTTTCTTCTCTCTTCTCTTAAGGTTCTCTCTTTCTTTCTCTTGGTTTATACCCTTAACCAATCGGAAAATACTTAAGTCCTGCCCCCATCAAGACAGATTGTGTCATACACATTAATGTGTCCCAATAAGAGGTTGACACCTCTTTTAAACTTAAAAAAAATATAAAATATGGGTTATACCCATTTTTTAGGGTTAAACCCGACATATCTATGTTTTTTTGTGTCTTTGCTCCAATCATTCCAAACCTAATATTCACATTGTGTCCTCCATCACTCCGCTTCAGATTGGATTTCGATTTCGATTTCGATTTGGTCTTAGCAAAAATTGATTCATTTTCTTAAAACATGTATATTAAAACATTATATTTGTCCTGTGTGTAATTTTTCTCTCTTTCAAATAGCTTATATCGAGTAAGAGATTTTGTTCAAATTTTGAGTTTTTTTCGATTTCAAAAACAAAGACAATGGTTTCAGTTCTGTTCCTTTACAGAAAAATGTACGTAGGAAATAAAAATAAGATAGAAACCATAGAATTGAGTAAAAAAATGAATAACTTTCATATATAACATGCATAAAAACTCTTGGGGTAGATTTTAAAACAGGAGAAATAGAAATGGTCAGTTCAATTTTTGTAAGGATAGTTTTCTATTTTAAGAAATTTAAAAATAAAAGAAAAAAAAATATAGAAAATACAATTTCCCATGAGTTAATTAAAAACAACATTCATAGTGTCAATTTTTTATTGGGACACAGGCATGTTTGCATTGGCTTTTGAAAAGCCGCTTTCGGCTTTCAGAGTCAAAAAACTGATATTTGTAGTGTTTGGATGATTTTGTAGAAGAGCTTTGGGCCTCTAGAAGAGCGTTTAGACGAAGCTGGGGTGGACCAGCTTTTCTAGGAAGAGATGCGGGAAGCTGCTTTGGGGTTTTAATGAACTTTTCATATTACCAAGCGTGCCCCTCGTGATTCAAAGGGAAAAAATAAATTTCCAGTTGTATCCCACAATGTCATCATCGTTCTTCTTCTAACCCTCTCGCTGCAAATACGCCTCTCTGGCTCAAATTAGGTTTTTCATCCTCATTGCTTCTTTCTTGGTCTGCTCCAAAAATTAACACTAGAACATCTTATCATTGTATGGGCATGCATATATATGTAGCTATATACATATATTGATGTACATATGTATACACACACATAAGTGTACTTTTCAATAAAAAATCGTATGGGTATGCGTTTGATATTCTCCGGATGGAGCAGTCACTGTTGTGGGTGAATCTAATTTTATCGGCTCATTGTAAATGTCATGGCGCATTATCTTGAGTTGCAAAGTTCTCATCTCTATTATTTGCTCTCTTTCTAGGTTGTTGGTTTTATTTTTCAAAAAAATTCTAATTCCCTAAAACTTTTGGTTGATTCTTCTATGAACTTTATAAATCTCAACATCTATGATGGGTTCATTCGTTTAGTGAATTTAACAATAGAAATCGTTCTCTCACAGTCCATTGTTTCTAAATTTCTAATCTGAAATGCATTTTAAAATGGTTTGATTTAAGAAATCAAGCTCCATTTTCATATAAAATTGCTAATCTATTGCTTATAGCTTGATTAATATATATATGTATGTATATAATCAGTTGCTTTATTTTATTTGGTAAAATTAATTCTTTTGATATTTTGGTGGGCTATGCAATTGATTATTGTAATTATGTCAATTTATTCCTTTGGTGAGATCAAATGCATAACTCCAAAGAATGAAGAAGTGTGTGTGTGTGTGTATATATATACATATATATATTATAAGTGTGTGTGAATTTGCATGATTAGAAAATGAAGTATACTGCTGCTTGATAGATATGTTAAATACTGCTATTGTGGGATTTTTTTGGCCTTGTTATCCTATGCTTTTGGTTTAGAGGGCTTGTTCTCCCTCTCAAGGATCAGGAATTAAAAATTGATTCATTGGGACAATGTCAGAAAAAGATAGGTAGTTCCTGGACAATAGTTAATTAAATTTAAGGGCAAAAATGTAAATTCATTAGTAAAAAAGTTTTGACAAATATTTTGCCAAATGCACACGAAAAAATTATTTGTCATGGAAAACTCTTCTAAAACATAATTACCAAACAATACGCTTAAGTTAAGTAGAAGTGACCTTTTTCGCTTTTTTTTTTTATATATATAAAAGTAAAAGTAAAAGTTATGCCAAACGAGGTTACAATCTGTCTTGATGGTGGCAGGACTGAAGTATTGTACCAACCAATATGTTTATTTTTCTCTCTTTGTTAACCCTCAACCATTCTTGGTTATTTCTCATGGCCACATTATTCCTCTGCCGGTCTCATCATTGTAATGAACTTGAGACTATTATGTGTATTTATAATGTACTTTAGGTACTTCATGATTTTAGAGCTTCCAACAAACAGCAGTTCAACCTCAAGGGTGGGGCACCTAATATGGCAATGAGAAATAAAGAACCACTACTCTAATTCCTTACTGTACGGTTAAACTAGAGTAGAGTTGTTACTTTCTCTGCAAACAAAACTAAAGAACAGTTTCATAACTCCTCCAATTTGATTTTTATAAAAAAGCTTGGATTCTTTCCCGTATCATTTGGTTCTTAAAGTTCGAAATACTTAACAATTGAATAAGTTATGAAAAAGGCTGTAATTTCAAATCTTTTAAGAATGGATTAACCAAGAGAGAGAAAGAAACAGACTGGTTGATATTAACCAAAAAAAGAAAAAAAGAGAACATGGAGAGAAGAAAGAGAAAAATGATTATTTGTTTCCTTATTACAAAAGATTCTTTCTTAATTAATTCACTCTCCTAAATCTCTAAAAAATGAATCATGTGACTTATAAGCAGGAGCTATTTAGACTTTTTGCGTGCTCTCGCAATAACAATACTCTTTCATATATTAACTAAAACTCAAATTTTATAATATTAGTTCAATTAAAACTCAATCAAAAAGGAAAGAAGAAAGGTTATTAGGTATAAAAAAGAGGAAATAATTTAAAAGGGTAATTTGGTCTTAAAGTTGAGTTTTATAATTCCAAAAAAAATAAGAAAGAGACATTCATTATAACTTCTATAATTGGGTTTTTCAACAATTAAATG